ATGCCGGGCCTTCTTATACAGATTTAATATATTAAAAAGATAAGAATAACTCAGAGAACCCCACTTTTATTGCTTTCTTGTAAATTTAAGAATGGGCTAAGCTACGTATCGGAACATCCAAGACTCGAGCCGTTGAACACGCTCCGTATTTTCATCCGTGGGTGCATTATGAGAGTAACAGTCAATCACGTTATTCGGTTCAACGCGAGGCTCAGCCCTTGTGGTGGCGAGTGCTGCCTTAATTACCTCTAGTGATTAGTTCAAGATTATAGGTTTGCCACACCTGAATCATTCCAGTCTCTGATCTGGCCAAAAGGTGTCATCCAAGATGAAAAATACCAATCCAAATATATTTTACAATATATGTTTAATACAAAAGATAGAGTGCTTTTAAAATATTCTGTGCTAGGTGAAGGGTGTTAAAACTTTCATTCAGAATATTGGCGCTTTTTAAATAACGAAATACGTCTGTTCCTGTTGTAGTATCATGTAGATATGGTGTACAGTATTCAATATTTGACCGTAGTTCGTAGATTATATCACTGGTTTAGAAAGCTTCTAATGTTTGATAGTTTTGGGAAGGAAAACAAATATGTTACACCAATGATGATATTGGTTAAATACTGTTTCGTTGAGAACACGCACAAAAGCAACAGTGTAACCTATCGTGTTGGAACGCTGCTCTTACAAATGAAAGACATACGCGGAGTGTTTAAAAACTACCTTGTCAGAATTGTCTTTTGAATATTTGGACAGGAAACAGTTCAGGAAATATATACAGGTGTTTTAACCTTTCTGTTTCTAAGAGTATATGACAAAACAAACAAATAAACAGAACAAAAAGGATTGTGGATTCTTATAAGACCTTTGTGTAGATTCTGTTGTTGGCTCATATGTTTCTTTTACGAATCTTGTAAGTTGTAATAGTTGTATAGCTACAACTGTGTTACGGTAGTATAGCTGATTTTAGTTGACATGTAGCAACTACGGGTACTTCTCGTTCTGCTACAAAGATCTTTTAGTCCTAAAGCTATGCCGATTTAAAGTTGATCATGTTTGAACAAAAATTGTCTTAGGTTTTTCCTTCATTTTATATTATTTCAGCTCTGAATGCAAGTGGAAAAGAGCGCCCTCTAGCAGCAAAGCCGTTTCGCACACTCCAGAGACATCGAGTTCGTTTTCCAGTAACAAAGCCTGAAATCCAGCAAGTTCATATTCTGGACGACTCGTATAACGGGTTTATTCAGGTGTGGCTCTCATTACTTTGTATTCTCATTTCATTTATCAGTATCAAATTATTTTATCGTTTTAAAGCAAAGCCACATTAAGCTATCTGCTGTGTCCACCGCGGGGAATAGAAACCTTGGATTTAAGCGTTGTAAGTCCGTAGATATACTGCTATTCCATTGGAGGACGGGTCAGATGCTCGTTGTTGTTTCTGTTTTTAAATTACACATTTAAATATATATTATTTATAAAAATGCACACATTACTTAAGATTGGGCAATTACTTCAATCAGGTGTTATGTAGTGAAGCTGGTTTATGAATTTATTAAGTATTCATTTAATTATTCGTATTTTCTGTTAGTTTTAAAAATAAAGATTAGAAAGTTGCACCCAGGATCTGTTTAGCTTTTCTTATTCTAACTCCATGTTTTATTCAAATATGTTGAGTTTAATTATAATTTGATGAGCTTCCTAGATGGAAACTGTTGAAATAAAATACTCCAATATTGTTAAACAATATGACCTTAATGCAGGTTTTCAAATTGTTATTCTAATAAACCTTAAGTAAACAAAAGGAAAAGTTCTAACAAAACTTAATACGTAAATTGGGTCCATATTTGTGTATTTTGACATTTGTTCAGATGTTGGTTGTCTAGAAAAACGTATATAGTAAGAAAAATATTTTATAGGCACTGATTTTTTAAGAACTTAAAAAATAAGTATAAATACACTGTACAAAACATATATATTGTAAATTGAACTTATAGTATTGTTGACATACATACATATATGGCAAGAAACATTGTTATAAAATAATGTTTAAAATTCATAACATTTCACCTCAGTATTGAGTGTGGTCACCTCGAAAAGCAAAGCTAACCTGACTTGTGCACCATCTCTACCATGTGTGCCAACTTTCGGAATCAAAATGGAGTTGGACGTGGTTTCAGATGATTTCGAACTGAGTGTACACTTGTTAACCTGAAGGTTAAGCACGACTCATCTGTAAAATTAATATTACTTTACATGTTGTTTATGTAATTAGTGGAATGTACCTAATTAGACGTCTAGCATTGTAACACGGAGACCAGTTGCGGCTATGAACATGTGAATCAGTCTCGGAGGAAGTACCCTGCAACTGCGGCAAGTCAAAATCGGCAATCGTCTACTTATGTGATGAATGATGGGGTGGTTTATCCAGTATTTGGAGAAACTATACCATTGGTCTGGAAACGACTTCACGTGCTGCTAACGACACTTGTAGCCAATTCGTAACATTCTCTTGGGAACGTCCAACTTCCATTTGTCGTATCTGTATACACGAGTGAAACATTCAAACATCACAAGTTTTGAAGAGTTTGGATCAGTTTACACTTTGTGATTCACTTCAAAGTAACAACCGAGAAAAAGTTTGGTTGAAAGGCCAGTCCTTTGGTTGAATGGTCGGTCAATCCTTTGCTTTTCAAATAATGTGACTAATCAACAAATGTCTGATTTACGTAACATGAACTAAGGAAAGTGATTTATTTTATAATAGTAGTTTTATCTTGTCATAGCTATAATATGATAAGTTACGTTTTTACTTCAGTTGTTTTTGCAGTATATTTTACCATAGGGTGATTATAGTTTATATAGATCGATTGTTTTACCCTAGGGTGATTATAGTTTATATAGATCGACTGTTTCACCCTAGGGTGATTATAGTTTATATAGATCGATTGTTTTACCCTAGGGTGATTATAGTTTATATAGATCGACTGTTTCACCCTAGGGTGATTATAGTTTATATAGATCGATTGTTTTACCATAGGGTGATTATAGTTTATATAGATCGACTGTTTTACCCTAGGGTGATTATAGTTTATATAGATCGATTGTTTTACCCTAGGGTGATTATAGTTTATATAGATCGACTGTTTTACCATAGGGTGATTATAGTTTATATAGATCGATTGAGGTTGAAATTAGTTATGAAATTTGTTAAACAAATCAGAAGGACGTCTTCTGTCTGGTGGTAGAACTAACAAGCAAAGAAACTTAATACATTTGTATAGAAATGCACTTTCGAAGTTTTCATTATTCCGATAGAATGTTTTAAGATCATGGAAGCTTAGATGGATTTCAACAGCAGTTAATTATTATTTATAAGTAAAGTAATATTTTAAAAAATTAATTTTTTACCCCTCGCTTGCTTCATGAAATGCTTAACGATTGTTTGCTAATACTTTCACCACCACGACCACAAATATGTTCATTCACTTAGTCATTGCCATGGATACAGATGTATATGAGACACACTGTATAATCTTTGGTTTAACCTTGAAATATTTGATGTTAACCACATGCGAGTTAGAAATATTGTACCACCGTGTAAGAAGGGTATTCTCGTTCAAATTTCCAGTTTCAAGTGTCGAATAAGTAATGAAATATTAAAACACGTGTCTTTCTGTGTTTTTGTTTTTCATTATTATATATCTAAGAATAAACATGGCGCTGTTGTAGTTGTACAACCATAAACGTGGCAGTGAATGAGTAAAATATTACTTACGTGACTTGATTGTTTTTTTATCTTTGAGACGGCCCATTGATAATATATAAAGTTATAACTGTTCTCTACGTTATTTTGCTAGTTAAATATTTCAGATTAGGTCGTTAGTTTTAGAAGAGTGAGTATTGAAACATTCACAGATAACACAATGTTGCCCGAGATAAAATGCCCGAACCAAATGGTCTTAATATAACATACTTTATAGGTTTACTGATAATCATTTTACGACGAGAAGTGAATTCATGATGGTTTCTCGTAATGTCGTTAAAGATTAAAATCCCCCGAAGTCCTCTATAAGCAATGATTTTTCAGTTTATGTTTTAGTATCTACTTTCTTCTTGTTGGAAATGGAACTTCAACGCCTTTTCGCTAGATGTGGCTACTGGGGGGCGCTCCGTGTCCGTTCTGTTACTTCACCTGTTTCATCACTATGGTTTTACTAAGAAGTTTCATCTGGATGCGCTGAAAATCCTTCACTGTTTCAGTAAGTCACTTTTGTTTTTCTTTATTTTCGTAATTAACTGG